CAGGGATACCATGGTCCTTCAACCAGGTACTGGTAGCTTTTGTTTTTGTTTTGTTTTTATTGGTCTTCAGTAATATTCTAATTTTCTGATATGCTGAATTTGAGATTTTCATTTGTTGTCATTTGTAATCATCAAAATTAAACGAAATAAACATTTGAAATATGAGTTTGTATGTAATGTATGAATATAATATACAAGTTTCACTTTTTAAATGGAATTACTGAAATAAATCTACTTTTTCATGATATTCTAATTTTATGACCAGCACCTGTAATGTGATTAATGCCACCAGGCAGACTGACTGGAGATTTACCCGGTCAGTCCGCTCTGTGCTCATCTTCGCTTCAAATAGAACATTAATTATTCTTTATTTATCATAATTCTGGTTTTACTTGATCTATCAACAATTTAAAAATTGCTGTATAGCCAGAAGTCTGTACTTTTGACACATTTTGGAACAGTTTTTTTACTGAGAGAAAATCTTTCTCACCAGAGTGATTTAATTTGGTCATTTAAAAGGGAATGCAGGCGTTCAGAGACTCTAGGAGATTAATCGTAATATTAATCGTTATCGGCTAAATACCACAATTAATCGTGATTAATTTTTTTGCCAATATCGCCCAACCCTAGTGTCCAGTTGCAAACATTGACATTGTTTAAAATGCCTGGCTGCCAAATGCGAACTGGGAGGTGATCAATCAATCAAATGACAATGAGTTTGTTACAGATGGTGACTTTTAAAACAAACTTCCAAACAAAAATTGCTAAAATTTAATATAAATCAAAACCTCCTCAAAAACCTAAAAAAAATAAACAACAACAACAGCAACACATATTGAATAATCTTGTCAGTTATGAAGACCTTCCCAATACCAGATTTCTTTAGCATATGGATTACATTTAGTAATCTTTGTACAATTATAAAACAAAAACATATTTTTTCTTACATTTTATAATAAAAAATATAAACAAGTAACATGGGATTTTAATCTAACAGTATTTGATTATTCTATTTGTGGCATGTATTTGCTTTATAAACTTAAATGTTTTAATTTAGGGGTGCACCAAAACATCGTTTTAAATCAGAATCATGATTCTCATTCACAAAGATTCAGAATCGATTTAAAATGTTCCAAAATCAATCCTCCATTGTGTAACCACGTGGGACGTCCAGACGTCACATGGAGCTGGTTCTGGAATGTAAGCATGTGCAGAAAGCACCAAAACAAAGAGGAAACTACAAAACTGGAGGTAAGAGAGATTCAACTGACCCTGTCTTTATTAAATGCAAAGATTTGGGCTCATTTTGATTTTTACTGAATGAGTCTGAGTTTGACATGAGCTTCACTGAGTGCAAAATTTGCAAAAAGAAGACGAAGCACTTTAGGAACAGGACAAATGGGCTCACGTTGAGTTTTGAATGAAAAAAATCTGAATCGAATCGAAAGATAGTAAAAGATTCCCACCCCTATTTTTATTTTTACTTATTTCATGTTATTAAATATAGCTACTACAATAAATAACAATTTTGTACATTCCAAACTGTAAAATCCAGATATTCTCCATGGACCAAACCTCTGAAGGGTATTTTGCAGCCCTCTCCAGCTTTTTATCCTTCAACAGCTCTTCTGAAGCCTCACTAAATCTCTTTAGTCTGTCTCTGTTTTACTTCAGGACATCTCTGGTTGAATAACAGACTTTTTGACGAATGAACTTTTAACCCCTGTCTTAACTTTATCAGGTAGGATGCTGCACTCCTCATTTAGAATCCACTACATATTTTGGTTTTCGCCATGAATGTTAGAACGTAAAAAGCCACCTATGCACTAAATTTGTATATTTCTGACTGTATAATCAGGCTCTGCCTGTAAAAAAATCCTAAGATCAGATCAGAAGTGAGAGGATCTTAAAAGCATTGTCATGTACCACCAGACACCAATCACTGATCCAACTCCAAATACCTCAACTTATTGGAACAAAGCAAAGGAAACTCTCAGTTGGTTTCAGAGAAAGAAAKTAAAGCTGCTGGAATGGCCCAGCCAATCACCTGACCTGAATCCAACAGAAAATCTATGGAAAGAACTAAAGATCAGAGTTCATAGAAGAGGTCCACGAAACCTTCAAGATTTGAAGACTGTTTGTGTGGAAGAATGGGCCAAAATCACACCTGAGCAATGCATGCCACTAGTTTCTCCATACAGGAGGCGTCTTGAAGCTGTCATTGACAACAAAGGCTTTTGTACAAAGTATTAGATAAATTTCAGTAAGTGTGTTCAATACTTTTTCCCTGTGCCATTCCACATTATTACAAATAACTTCATTTCTGGACATTTATGGTTTGATTTTTTTGTATATATGGATCACTTGGGTTGTTACCGACATCTGGTGAAAATTTCATGTCATTAGCACCTCTAGTAATATATTTACTGAGAAAAATGGTGACGTGTTCAATTCTTATTTTACCCGCTGTACATACAGCTTTGGGAAAGAAGACAAATAAATATACTGAGAAGAAACATCTAAATTATATTTGTATCTTTTCCTCCTAATGGAATATACACATTTAGTATTGGCTAATGAGACTGACCAAACATGTAACCAAAATCTAAAATCACCACAGGAACAAACAGTCAGAGTTACACAATACCACAAAAAATACCACTTATTTTTACGGTTGAGTTGAAGAGAATCTAAGAAGACTTCCTAATTTCAGGGGCCCATAAATCAACCAGCGATGAAAGTTTCTTTTCTGACTAGGAGGAGGCAGAAAGAAAACTGTGCTGGCCCCAGGGCTCACACCATCATGCTCCACCCTCTCCCAGAACCAACAGGAATTTTTATGAGCAGAGAAGAACAGATATCATCGCGAGACAAAAGAGAGAACCATCACCTCATAATCCAAAAAGCAACATTTAGAATATTGTTTAAAATACATTTTTCTCCAGTCAGAACATAAAAATAAATAAAAGATTTACGTATACCAGTGCAAACAATTCAATTAACCAAAGCTGAATTCATAAAGAAATCATAAAATGTGAATAAAACTTACAGCAGAAGAAACAATACAAGTCAAAACATAAGTTTTTTTACAATAAATCATAAAAATGCTTAAAAATCTTCCAAACTACTTTAAATCTAAAGAATTTCAGCAGCTCAGAATGTTAAAATAAAACATAAAACCAAAGGGATGAGGAAAAATTTTGTAAGCAACTGTCTGCAACTATTTTTTTAAACCAAGAGTGAATACCTGCCAATTAGACTTTTATTATTGACTCTTAAAAACAAGAAATGTTAACAAGACCTTAAACAAACAGAGATCTAATCAAAAATAACTTGATAATTATTTATGGAAGAATAAATCAGAACTCATTGGAACAAAGATCAAATTTAAAAAAATAAAGGCTGCTTAGCCCTCTGCTGGCAAACTAACAAAATGCATCKGTTTGTCTGCATCAAAAAACAAAAAATGTTTAAATGTTTGTTTCGTCATATTAGAAGTGCACCATCACAAATAAATGTAGGTCTGAATGGTTAATCCTAAGCCATATGTGCTTTTTGTTTTGTATATAATATAACTGCATTAAATTGGCCTCTGGGAAATCTGATATGTTGACATGTTTGACATTTCAAATAGGAACTTAAGCACTGAGAGTTAAACAAAATGTATCACACAAGTAAATACATGATCACTTGAAAATACAGCAGACATGATAGAAAATTTGATTTATAATAAATAAGTTGTCTAAAAGTGTCTGTGGATTTCTAATTTGTTATAAACAGAAAATAGCTAAGAAATTTCTGATCACTTCATGCAAAAAAACAAAAACGTATGAAAAATCAAGACAAACAGGATGTAAAAACTTGGCTTTTAGAATTTTAACTTTTTATCTCAGCTCAGTGTTCAAAAGATTAGAAAGACTGCTTAATGTGTTTTCTCAATTGTTTTAAAATAAACCAATTACAGCAACCAATTTATACATTTTTAAATATGGTAATCAAAATATCAATGTACTCTTGTTTTTAGCATCTGTTATGATGCTGATAAACTGTTCCAACAAGTTCATTAACACACCATCAAAGAAGCATAACAGCCAAAAAATATCAGGTTTAGCTTTTGCTATCACAACAGGCATTTGCTGTCTCCTGAAAAAAAAAAAAAACTGTAAACTTTAGAACAAGCCAAGAATTTGAGCCTCACTGCTATTATCCAAGCCAATCTCTGAGTCTTCAGCCTAAAATGCCTGTTTGGCCTGCATAATTGGTAAATGGACAAGAGTTGATATAAGAGAATGAGGAGCAGCTGAACTACTCTGATGTCTGCTTTCACTTCTGTTTATTGTGGCTCAACACAGATTTCAAATGGAAGGAGAGTGAGCCATCTTCCCTGTATTTCACACAAGCTTAAGTAAACATAGCTGAATCTTCTTTGAGCCTTTTAAAACACAGACTGAGCAGGAGGAAATTCTAAGTAACAAAAAGTGAGGCACAAATTTAAATTCTTGTCTTTTGCACTTCACACAAAATTAGTTTTGGCTTCCTGAAGCGTAACCGATAGGGTGGTTTGACAAGACAGCCACACACCATGACATGACATGACATGACATGACTTCTAAAGCCTCCAAATCTAGTGACTGTACCTTGAACGATGAATTCAAGGTCAATTCTAAATAATAAACTTTTTTATAAGTTGGCTGATATGTTTTCTCYTCTGTTAAACTGTGTTACCTGTCTCTGCATTTCTTCAACTTGTCTGTGAGGAATGCTCTTCAAGATGGTGTACATCTCAGATAATTTCTCCTCCGGAATGACCACCGAAGCCCTGAGRGGGACGAAACATATTACATTTATCAAAATGAAGAGTTTGAATATGTTTCCTCATTGCTTTAAAATTTAGACGGACCTTTTCCAGTCGAGTACTTCCGAGAACGGCAGAATGTAGGAGTCAGCCAGGATGACGGGGACACAACCAGCCTGCAGAACATCACTGAGGGCAGCCTGACCCAAACGAGCCCCTCGCAAAACAACACAGAAAGACGACTCCTGTGGAGATGTTTTATAATAAATATCTCTAGCTTTAGTTTCCAGATGTACAACACATTTACTCCAACCAAACCAAATGAAATTTAAGCAAAAGTTAGCTAAAAGATATTTCAGCCCTGTGTTTTACGCATCTTTAATAATGTATATGGTTCATCAGGCGTACTGATGAAATAACACTACTAAAAAACATTTAGAGAAGTGAAACAGTAATTGTACAAGCTAATATATTTTTTATTTTAATGTATTTGTAATTCTCACCTGCAGGATCTGGGGGTAGTCGTACACCTGTCCTTTGTAACAGCGCTTTCGGGCCAAGGCAGCACCCTGGGAGAGATTGCTACACTTGTCCAGTAGGAGCAGGGATTCACCATTTTCTTCCTTCAAACGCTCCAGCTCGGCGCGGTACTCTCGGTGAATGGCAGTTTGAGAGGACAAAATGAAGTAGCGCCGTGGCCTGAGCGAATGAAAAAAACACACACACACAAAAAAAAAAAAAAAATCAAACCGTGAATGTGGATAAACGATTTAGTCAGGATGTGAACCTGAAAACGGTGACAGTTGCAGAACAACATCTGATTACCCAGGCTGTCTTTCAGGCAGTACAACATCGGCAGAGAGGGGACTGTATACTGGGATGCCGACATCATAACCCTGTCTGTAGGTCCATGTGGAGAAACCGCCTCCAGCCAAAAGTGCTCTGAAACAAATTGCCAGGATTGTGAAAAGGCTTCCACACAACAAAAAAGAATCTTTAAAAGTTTATAAATCTTACTCAAAGTAAGAAATGACTGTGAAACATGATATCAAATCAACCAAGGTTTTGCAACTCTATCCTTTATTGTTGTTGTTATAGGTAACAAAACACTTGTTTTATTGTGCTGTACCTCCAAGCGATGAGAAGTGGAAACATTACCACAAACACCTGGTTCTCATGAAGCTTTATACCAAATGGAGTCCAGGTGGATAAACCTTAAACACATTTTAATGCTAAAGGAAGTGTTCACTATCTGGTGTGTGTATGTTCAGAAAGCAAACTTCCTCCATTCAAAACAATCACTCTTTCTTGCAGGACATATTTAAGTTGAACACAGGCAAATTTTACACCCATGCGTCTGAAAATAACGGCTCTTAAAAATATGTTCTATTTTTTAACATTTATTAGACTGTTGCTAAAGTAAAAACTTTTGTCTCTTTTTGTGAATTAACAGAAATGCTAGATCTTATTGAGCTTAAAAATACACAAATAAATAATATATGTATTACTTGTTTAACATATGCAAGAAGATTGTTTAAAAATCCTAAAACCAAGATTTTCTCCTCAGACAGATCAATGATTGTTGGGGAGATTTGATTGCTCTTACAACAGCGCTTCAAACTGCCATCATGTTTTTGTTTGTATTTATAACCAGCTTTGCTTCATTTGTGAGAGAGCAACACTAAAGTATGTTTTTGATTTAAAGCAAAAATACTGACATTTTTCACCCTGTAACTGCCTAAAAGTAACTATGATTCAGAAGCCAGATGTTCTTAATAAAAACTGGAAACAGCAAAATGGCTACAAGGATTAGAGAAACAGTAATAAACTCATCATCCTAAATTACTAGTACACTACTTTAATTAAGGTGTTTTTTAATTTTCATATTACAGCATAACCAATTCAGTTTTTCAACATGCAATGTAGCAAGACAGTGTGTCACTGAGGAGACGATAAAWGCATCAGAACACAGACAACTTTGAACTTCACAGTTTGTGACGAGAGTACTAAAATATGGCATCTTTTTAAGGATAGTTGTTGAAGTTACCGATCTCTTGGCACATCCAACGCAGTGTTGTAGTCAGGAGGGCCTCCAGGTAACATGTTGAAAAGTAAATGATTCATCCCCTTGTCCCATCTACAAAAATAAAAAAAAACATGTGTTGGGAAGTGGGAATTGTTAACAGATTTCTTATGAAATAAAACTATAAAAACCAGTGTTAATTTTTTTTTTGCTTAAAAAAATAAACTTGTATCTTCTATAATATTTTACCTGGGTAACATTGCCAGAGCTTGAGCAGTCTCTCTGATACGAAGGGAGTTTTGATTAAGGACGTCAATAGATGGGATAAAAAGACAAGCCCTGGTGACATCATCTGTGTAAAAGTCGCTGTCAGAGATTGCGCTGAGCAAGTCGTTGTATTCCCGTGACAATCCAGTGCTGCTGATGGGAACCCCTAGCTCATCCACAAASCGCTGAAGAGGATAGATGTAGACCTAAAGAGATAGTTAATTTGACAATAAATCAAAARTGTGCATCAAAACCCCTTAAGCTCAACATAATGAGAGATACTATGAACACTAAATACCTTAATTCTGTTCTTAGGATTGTAGCCACATCTATATACATCAAAACAGGTGTGCATCCGGCAACTTAGGTCACCCCTCTCAGGTATGGGACTGGATCCAGGCAGTCGGATTAGAGGTGCATCATGGACACTGCCCTTTTCAAGTGTCCATTCAGTCGTGGACTCAATGGAGTGAGGCCAAAACTGAAACATCCCAGTGGCGATCAGTCCAAGGAGCACAACGGAGAAGAGGGTGATGTAGTATATGCGGTGCTTGGTTTTCATACGCGGGATTAGAGCAGGGCCCCGGGAGCTGTACTTCCCTGAGGCATACATGACTGCCACTTCTCCGTCAGACCAGCCGCTGTGTAAAGACATAGCGATTTTCATTTCACAGATACTCTTGACGTGCYATTATGAACCATCCTGTAATTTGGTTTGATTGTTATGAAGGTACGTACATTCAAAGACGACTATAACAAATGATACGCGAATGGAAAACAACAACAAGACTACAATAAAAGAACAATAAATGAAGCTGCGGTAAAAGTAATAAAAAAAGTTAGTAGTTCACGTAAATTAGCTGTTGGCTAAACCAGCTGTGTAAACACACCCCAGGCTAGGTAAGCTGAATAATTACTTACTTTAAAAATAGGCAATTTGACGTTACAATAAACCACTTTACATACCAAAACGTTTAACGGACCAACGAGGTCAGTACTTCTTCATTGCCACAGCGAGTGAACAGAGTTCAATCATTAAAACAATGTCGATGTTAAGTTAGCTTCGAGCTAACGCCCTAGKGTTTCGGTGATTTACGGAAGTTGTTCTTCTTCGCTGCTGAAACCTGCGTTAACTCAACAGTGCTTCCCRCTAGTGGTAAAGAAGGGAAAATACCATTATTTACATCCGCCCCCAACATTCGAGCCTCTCATTTTTTGAGAAAGACATCAATTCATTCATTCATTTTATTTATCTAAAAACAGTAACATAATTATAAATACATAATTATAAATGGATAACACAATAAAGCTTATTTCCATTGTGGTCTGTCACTTACCTCACAATTTGTCAACTGTTTTCCATTATCAGTGTTTTGAGATGTAATGCTGGTTAGGCTTGAAATGCTCATTGGCATTGAGAAAGTGGCCTGCATTTATGATTAATCAAACCAAAGTTCTGTATACATCTTCTGAACAAGTAGATTACTATACTGATACAGTAATATTGCATGTAATATGTGCACTGAAGCAAGGAAATCATGTTGCTCCTAAAAAAAGTATTTTGTTAATTTTACAAATTAAATTTGATAGTTTTAAGTTATGTAGTACATACCAAGGCAAAATTATTGTATAGTCCATAAACGCAATCTAAAAACTGTAGTTTAAATTGAAAAGCTAATGAATAAAATAAACTAATAGGTAGAAAATACATGTAGAAAAGCTAATGGCTGAGATCACAGAAAACAAAGTAGAATATGATTAACGGCACATTAAGATATATTCTGTGAGACAGTATATGTCAGAAAGTGTTGTATGTGTCACCAGTATAAAGATCTGTATCTGAAAAATAATACATCTACTGAATTTTGTTTGACCATTTTTTTGAATTTATACATGCACTACAGAGAGTTGTCTTACCAGTGTCAATCATGCTCATGTGCACGATGCTGATGCGGGGAGCTGTGGGGACAGGACAGTAGAATAGCAGAGAGCAAGGGGGAGGGACCTTTAAAGTGTTTTTGCTCAAATTAAGTTCACGATTTTCTCAGAACTACCTTTTGAACTTATCTGCTTTAGAAATCTCTTTGGTGAATGTAGACTTGAGCTCTACACGTTATTGGGAACAAACATGTTCATTATTTGGAGTTACTTGGCTTTTTTTTTTGCAAGACATTTTACTGGACAGAAATTCTTATCTGTTCTGTACCTTTAAACACTCAACATTAAGCCTCTCCAGGCTTACTATACACTTATAGCATACTGCACCCTTGAACATAAAAAAGTCAACAACTCATCTTTTGCTCAAAATATATCTGCACTCAGCAGCTCAAAAACTGATGATGCATGCACACTTTACACCAACTAAAGCACAAACTTTTTCAGGCCAAATAACCTTTTTGGACAGGAGTTACTGCCTATTTGGCACAAAAAGTCATTTGACTCGTTTTTTTCTCTCATAGTTTGTAGTTTATTCCATTACAGGCAGGGCAGTGAGGGTAAGGGACTAAATACATTCTCATTGTGGGTTAGGAAAGGAAGGGATGCAAACCAGGTAAACATGGACAAGACATAGTTGAATTATACCTTTCATTATAGACCAATTTATAAATCTGCCAATAGTTTTATTAAATAACTTATTCTTTCCTACATATAAGTACTGTTATCTTTTAAGACAAGCCATTGCCTTATTTTAATATAGTTGTTCTCTACATCATCCTATTGAAATTTATCATTATTTTTTAAGATATCTGCATAAATAATTACACATAAAAAAACAGTGCTCTACACATGATGGTAAAAAAAAAGTATTTTCTTTTTGCAGAGTTCAGTCTGTGACCAGCTGCAAGCAAAGCTACAGCATGTAAGAAACAGCTGGTGGAGCATTAGTGTATCTATGAGAACTGGCAGCTTCATTTATGTAACGTCAGACTGCAAACTGGCTGGAAATGTTTGCTGCGACTAAATCTTATTCTAATTAGTCAGGCAGTGCAGAAAACCATGGTGACTCCAGGCGTGATGATGGCACGGCACCAAAAGGTCACTGCGAAGAAGCTGTAACTTTGCAGCAGGTCTCACCACTTTGGCAAAATTTGTGAAGAAAAATAAAAGTGCACTGTACCCATGCAATGGCACAATGTCAAATACCACTCAGACAGAAAAAAAGCTCAAATAGATAACTCCTTGTAATTGAGAAAGTCCAAAAAAAGCTCCCTGCACTGTTCTAAAAACCGATTTAAAAAACACACCGACATCAAACCAATCCATTGCCAAAATTAGGAGAATAACAATACCATCAAATATAGCAATAGAAGTGAATAAAAACATTTACTGTACTAAATAATGCAAAATGTGAGCAACCTGTTACARCCAGAGTGATATGGAAGATTGAGTTCCACGTGCCGCATTTAAAAATTGGCGCTCATGCCCATTCACACATTCAGTCCAACTTGAAATGTCTGAGATGAGCCAGATTAAAGGGAAGAAAATACCTTCATGTCCAAACTGACCAAGACCACCTTCGGAATAGAAACATCATCCTGGGACACCTTTAGAATAAACAATTGGGCAATTGCTCTCTCAGAATCTTGAGTTTATGATCTTTCTTTTTTTTTTAACCCTTTTGAGCATTTTCACTATGCTTTGCTGAAAACATTTGTTCTGTACCAGCCATGCTACTTTGTAATGCATAAAGGATGCAGATTCTGACCTGGGCATGTTGCTAAGATCTACGAGATAAATGTACATTATTTATGACACTATAAGCAACTTTTGTCTTTGTTCAAAACGTGCAGAAATTGTCTTATTGGATTGAAAGCCATGGCAGTGTTTTAATGTCAGGGGGATACTTCCATGTTGTTGCGGTGTAACAGTCGATATGGGAACTGACTGAAGAACTAGAAAGGAAACAATTAACCGAGCCTGTGTTTAAATAAAGCAATATTCATATATAGATACAAAATTACATCTCATAAATACATTTGGCAAGACAATCTGTTACTTTTTTTGGCAAAAGGGAGTAAACTGAGCAATATGATGTGTGCAAGAGTAACAAAATGTAAATCTGAGTGGCTTGGTGACAAATTATCTTTAAGAATAAATTAATTAAAAAAAGAAAAGTCTTCATGCATTATAAAGTGTAACCAAAGGACTCCAAAACATTCATAGGCATCTGTATAACTTTTTTCACAATCACTAAATGTTTAAGACACATATTCTCACTAACATGACACACTTACTCTCTCTCTCTCTCTCTCTCTCTCTCTCTCAAAGTCAGTTCATTGTAGACCTGAGGAACATTTCTTATTGTCTTCTTACTTCTGTTAATAAACAAACATGTCCATCTTCACATTCCTGGTGTAAAAAAAATTAAAATAAAAGCTGTACAAGTTTCCAGAGCTGCTGAAGATGCATGACGTTTGTACAGCATATCAGTCCAGACGATGTGCCTGTACTAACCTTTTCTACAGTGTTGGTTTCAGATTTCGGACTCTCTTCAATTTCGATGTCAATGGTGTTATGTAGACGTGTCTCTTTGTGTGGGTGAGACATTGATTTAGACTGGCATTGTGAAGCTACAGTTGTTTATATACACCCAAAAGCAGCACAGCCCCCTGGCATGCAGAGAGAGGTATCTTTTTCATCATTGCAATAGTGTAAAAATGTTAGTGTTCAAAGGGGACACCTGAAGAATGAAAATACGTTGTGTTGGTCCATCAAGTTCTGTTCATCGGACTTCTGATAAGTGACTGCATTCCGCTGCATGCACGTATTGTGATATGTTTTAAAATTTGGATTACTGCACCCCTCCACCTAAAGTACAAAGACACCAGGCCCCTCAGARCACACTACACCATCGAGGATAGTGTGTTCTCTTCAGGACAGTGACAAGTGGTTCGTAGAGAGTGTATGGCTGGCGGGGCGCCATCGCTTGGGGAAAGGTCGTTGAGCTCCTCAGAGGATGAAAGCGGGAAGGAGGGCGACAAGGATATGCCTGAAGAGGGGTCCGCAGACCCTGCAAAAGTGCGTGGAGGTTTAGGGACAAGGTTAGGCTCCAGCGTGGCTCTGACCAGAAGTTGCGTGTCGTCCAATTGCTGTCCATCTCCGAGACACTCACCCTGCCCAAAAGAGCCCCGACCTGACTCCGACTCCCCGTCAGACAGGTCGAGTGGTGGTGAGCTGCTGCCATCCAGTCTGAACAGAGAGTCTAAGTATTGGGCGAACTCTAGCACAGCCTGGCTGGGGTTCCCATTGGACAGCTGGGGGGGAAGAGTCGAAGTTGCCAGGGGGCTTTCCGCACATAACTGTGTTTCCTGACCCTCCTTTTCCCCATCTAGTAATTTTGAACCAATGAGTGGGCTGAGCGGAGCATTGGGAGTGCTCCCTGGGCTGTAGACACCAGGCATCTGTTCCCCATCATGAAGAATTGTTCGGGTGGCGTTAGACTGCGGTTTGAAAGGCTGTGAGGAGACACTCCGAGTCAGAAGGGCTGGGGAATGGTGTCCACTATAGCGAGGCGTGGCGGGAGACAGCCTCATGGAGTACTCTGGGGTGGATCTGGATTCGAGTGGGGTTAAGAAAGGTCCAACCTCACCCAGGTGCTCTGGCGTCGTCGGGCAGAGGCAGTCTGCAGCCAGTAATTCAGTGCGAGAGCTGAGAGATGGGTTTTCCTCGGGTATCGGAGCGTCCAGCGGGAACGGCAGACTACCCAACATCGGTGAACCCCTTAATGCAGCCGAGGAGCGTCGGGAGTCCAGGCTGTAGAGCGACTCTGCATCCGAGAGGCTCTCCATGACGGCCAGCGGCGCCTTTCTGTCTCTCAGCTCCACCGCCAGACGTTCCCGGGCTCCACGGAGCACTACAGGCACTGGGGGAGGAGGGCACTCAGAGAAACCGTCCAGAGATATTTCAGATTGGGCACATGAGCTAGAGGAGAGGAGAAGAGTGGGTTGGAGAGCAATGGTAGGAAAAAGG